ACTAAGTACTTTTTCAAAGTAACGTGCCCAACACTGATTGATGACATTGTTATGGTAATTACATATAATTTAAAGATTTCACATCAAGACTTAATTAAAAGTACATGTCTGTTAATGCTGTAGTATTTTCCTATTTGAAAACTTTAACGATGCCGTATACTTTTATACAGTGTCTGTGCATCAAACTTTAAAAATGTTTGAGTTGTTTTTTTCAATCCATAAAAAATGCGATATATTTCAGCACATAACTTTTTTTCTTTTGAGGAATACAACAAACACCAAAACAACGACAGCATCATCCACTTAATAATGAATTACTACACTAGCATTTCACAGTGAATTTCTATTTCCTCTGCTTTCTATTTTCTAACGTTAGACCCAATATCAATGGCTAATTTAGTCAATAACTTTGAGTCAGTCCCAGATAGCCAGACTAATGTTAGTCTGCAGAATATTCTATAGGATCCATCGGCTATAGATGGATTTATTGGTTAGCTCATCCACTGACTGGGAAATTACCAGTGGAACGTCTTCCTGCAGACAGAAAACTGCTGGTTTCTGCAGCCAAATGCTGCACAGGGAGACATTTCTATGGCGCGTCTCCGTGGGAGTGGGGAGTACCAATATGGCGGCCTGTGGCTTCACTTTTTGGGACCAATCAGCATCCAGTGAATAGAGATCAGACGAACAGACTGATGCAGCTTTAAAGCAGCAGCCGCCCCGATCCGTCCGTAGACCTTCTGCTCATTTCTCCCCTCAGTCTTGAACAGGACCTAAGATTCCTTCACTCCTCCACTTTAGGCGGGAGCTCCTCCATTCAAAGCTCTAACAGGAAGGCAGAGTGAGGGAGCAGCGAGGCGGGGCTTCTTAACGCACCAATGAAGCAGCTGGATGTGCGTTTAAGAAACAAACTGCTGGTCGATGTTTGGATCCATCTCTAGTCTGGAAGGAAAATCCTGTTTTTATTGTTCTTTACAGAAATGTTTGCAGAATCTCGTTTCTCATCCGTTTAGGAAAAATGTCTGTAGAATCATTTTTCTAGCAATTCTTATCAAAGCAGCTCACAATCAGTCAGATCAGTTTATGAACATGTGATGGACTTTGACTAGGACGTTCCAGTCCATCTGTTGTATCTCTGACTGGATCTTTTGGAAGGAGAACCTCCAGCCTGGTCTCAGGTCCTCTTCCATCTATGATGGTTTCTTTGGTTATTTGCTTGATCCTACTTCCCATCACCTTTAACCAGCCTCCATCTCTCTGCCAAACAGCCTCCCCACAGCATGACGCTGCCACCACCTTCTGTGCTGTGATATTTGTGGAAGTAAAGGCCAGATGGTTCATTTAAAGCTTATTTAACGTCTCCTTCACGCCCTGTACGCTTACGTTTCATGCAGGACGGCTACCTGGATGCTGATGAAGTGGCCCAGTGGGTTCTACCAGGAGAGGTCGACCACGCGGACAACGAGGCCAAGCACCTGATCCATGAGACCGACACAGACAAGGTAGACGCGTGATCGCTCAGAAGCTTTGCTAACTGTGGCTAATATAGCTAACACTTCTCAAACCCTGATGGATGTCGGGATCAACCAGACGTAGTTCCTTTACCTTTTAAGGGTTTATTCGTCTCTTTCGCTGTGTTTACATGATGTTGGGTTAGTATCAGTATTTGACAGGAAGTTTTATCTAGAATCTAGATCTAGAATCAAGGTCAAACTTTGACTTTTTTCACCTGAAGTTACTCAAATCTGATTATTATTTTATTTTTTTTGCCCATAAGTGACCTGGATCTGAACAATGCGGATCTGAACAATGAACCCAGGTCATTTGGCTCTCTGGTCCTGAATCCAAATGAATCTAATCTTTTCAAATGCGACCTGTTTCTGAACGGCCAGAACGCCATTAATGCTCAACAAAGTTCACTATTCTGGGTCTCGCTACGCAGAAGCAGAAGGAAAAACAAAGAAAGAAATGAAAGATGCGCTCCAGCCCTGCCATCTATGTTCACACAGATTTGATATTTACTTTACTGACCTCACATTGGAGATATTCACTCCCTGCATTTAACCCCCCCCCTTGGGGAGCAGTGGGCTGCCATTGTGCGGCGCCTGTGGAGCAGAGTGGGGTGTTTATGTTCTTGCTCAGGGACCCAGAGTGGCAGTCTGTGGGAGTGGGGCTCAAACTCAGAGCCTCAGGATTCCAAGCTCTATGCCTGGGGCGCCACTCTCCTATAAAACTTCCCTGACCGGGAATCAAACCCGGTTCCGCAGGGGTGAAAGGTCATGTCCCTGACCCAATCATGCTTCCTTGTTCCTACGGAGCACGCTGGTTTGTGACATCATTGCGTCCTCTGCTGCACAGGCGGGACACTTAAGTTGCATGAATGCAGTTCAGACAGGAGATCGCATACAAGTCAAATATATTTGGAAATGTGAACGCACCACGCAGAAGAAAAGGATTGAATCGAGCATTCAGGCCTGCAGAGTGAACGTAGCCTCAGAGTTTACTCTTAATGATGTAGCTCTACGGTTGAAGTCATTGAACACGTGTTCTGATATCAGACTCTTTCTCCAACGACTCGTTACTTCAATCGGATTCTCCTTAAAAATATGTGATATCAAAGCAACACTAAGTTTAGCCCCCGTTCCTAGACCTGCACCGTCCCTCAGTGTTCTGGTATCAGACCAGTTTGGACCAGCAGAATGAGACGTCCTTTAGTTCCTGGTAAAGATCAGGAACCATTGACGCTCTGGATAAAATCCTCCATCAGTCTGATCAGCTGAGGGTTGGAGCTCAGTCTGACGTAAAGCGGCGCTCTGGGTCACATGACCCATTCAGAGACGGATCAGAGCATCATCTTCACAACAAACCAGCAAAATATTGTAACGACAGGTTTGTTATTTTAAGATTTAACAGAATCTGTAAAGAAATACAGTTTTTTTTTTTTTTTTGTGAATCATTTTCTCCTTGGATTTCTCACCTGGATTGTTTCTGTTGATATTTACACCTAAAAAAAACGGCTTAAGTTTTTGTTTTTCAGGTGGTTTAAAAGTCTGACTCCTTTTTATTTCAAACAATAATTTCCAAAACTGCTAAAGATCTGGAAGTTATCACAGATTAAATTACATATTTTGTCAAACAACATGTTTTAAATAAAGTTTGCACTTTTCTGGACCTGGGACTTTCATTTGTTTACACTGGACTTGACCCGCCCCCCTCCCTGCGGAAAGGAACAGTACTTAATTCTTGTTAAATTGGTTTAATTTCATCACTAATCATCTCCTTTCTGTCTTTCTCTCGCTGTTTGTCATCCCTCCTTTCTCCCGTTTCTCCCAATCATCTGTTGATCAACCAACGATGGATGAAATGCTGTAATCAAACAGGATGAGAAAATCACCAAGAAGGAGATTCTGGCCAATTGGAACATGTTTGTTGGAAGTCAAGCCACCAATTATGGTGAAGATTTAACAAAGAAACACGAGGAACTTTGATGTGCCGTCCATGGGAGGTTCGGGGGGGGG